GTCAGGAGACGCCTCTGCTGTTTAGTGGAACACAGCTCTACATGATCAACTCCTGCTGCTGGGGACACCGAGGAGTGTGTGTGAGTGTGTGTGTGTGTGTGTAGGGCTGCACACAGATGGAGATGTGGATGATGGAGCCGGCAGCGCTGTGCAGCTTTAGGAGTCCAGCACAGACACTCCGCTCCTGCTCATGATGAAGAACACACACACACACACACACACACACACACACAGAGCTCTGATTGGCAGCCAGCCTCACGAATGGGCTTCCAGCTGCTGTAGCTCCTCCCTCAGGGCCTGGGCCCGCCCCAGTTTGTCCAGCTGCTCCTGGCTGGGCTTCAGCTCTCCGGACAGCACCCTCTGCTGGAGCTCCTCCACCTGCCGCAGCTTCTTACGCAGGTTCTTGAGTCTGCGTGCGCTGTCTGCGGCCCCGGGCCCCTGCGAGGCGCTCAGCTCCAGCTGCTGCATCTGCTGGCTCAGGCCCTGCGGCTCCGGCTCCGGCTGCAGTTCAGGCTCCGGCTGCAGTTCCGGCTCCGACTTGGTCTCCTGCCCCTGCTGCCTGCGCTTCTCCTTGCGCTTCATGTTGCGCTTGGCGGTTCTGGAGAGGCCCGCGGCGTCGCTCGGCTGCGTCTGTGTCTGCGGGGGGGTCTCCACACACACGCCCGGCGGCAGCTCCGGCTTACTCTTGAAGAACTTCACGAACTTGTTCTCGTACCTGCAAACACACACAAACTCAGGCCGAGGGTCCGAGACTACAGCTGATCTGAGGTCAGAGGTCAGAGCGAGCGCTTACACCGGCACCTCCTCCTGCGGCACGTATCCATCCCTCACCCGCCGCGGCTTCCTCCAGGAGCCATCCGGACGCTGCGTGGCGGCGATGTACTTCCTCTACACACACACACACACACACACACACACCAATATTACACTCTAGAAGCTCTTGGTTCTGATTGGCTGGAGGAGTAAAGTGTTCAATGCAGAAGTAGTTCCGGTCAGTTTGACCATAATTTAAATTAATTTGATTTTCCCCCCCCACACACACACACACACACACACAAGGAGACCTCATCTGCCTGACCCTGTCCACACACACACACACACACACACACACACACACACACTCTCCAGCAGTGATGTTCCATCATCACACGCAGTCTTGCTCCGCTCAGCCGGTCTCCGCTATAGGTCCTCCTGCTCATTCTGCGCGTTATCCTCCTCCAGCTGAGGTGATGAAGCGCGTGTTTGGAAACAAAAAGAGATCGGGAGCGCGCGGCCAGCGGAGTGTGTGTGTTCACTCTCTCTCTCTCTCACACACACACACACCCTCATCATCCTCCTCCTCATCATCATCATCACAGACACTCGCGGCGGCGGCGGGAACTCTTCATCACTGCGCTGAAAGACACATTAGTGAGAGAAAAGCTTTACCAGATTCATCTGTCACATAGGGGGTCGCCATCTTTAACAAAGACGAGCTTCCGTTTCCGCCGAGCTGCAGTATCGCGAGACCCGAGTCCGGCGTTCAGAAATGCTCAGCTCTGCAGCGGATACCGCGATATTAATATTAATCTGACTATTGCTCATTATTATGATTATTGATCTGCTGCTCACTGCAGGGCGCGTCAGAGAAAGCGGCGCCCTTATCCCTGTGCTGTCCCGCCCGGAGCTCCTGCAGCTCCACACATCAGTATAACACACTCTCACACACACACACACACACACACACACACTCCGCAGAGGTCGGCCAGCTCTTACTCTGATCTCTGCTTATTATAAATGCAGCAGATTAATCAGCATGTGTAGGGCTAATACTGCCCTGATCCATAATCAATAACTCAGGCAGGCTGTGTGTGTGTGTGTGTGTGTGCTGTTCATCTTCAACAGCGCCTCAATGTTTACTTCAGGCTCGGCCGCGCGCGCTCATATAAACAGGGCGGAAGTGCGGGGCGCGCACTGGCCGAGCGGAAGTGACGTATGAGCCGGCTGGAAGAAAAGAGAGACGTGCGCGTATAAGCGACCGCAAAAAGGCAAATAAAGAGCGTCTCTGCGCGCGTGCGTGTGTGTCGGAGACCCGCAGACCGACAGGTGAGAGCTCCGCACCGAGCACGGGATCTGACGCTTTCCGTGTCCAAGAGAAAAAACTGCAGCTTCCGTTCGCGCGTCTCAGCA